TGGATGCCATACCTCCCCTGGTCCCAGCCTACATCCAGGTGGATGCCATAAGTCCTCTGGTCCCAGCCTACATCCAGTTCCCTTACAGCCATCACCGATGAGTCCAAATCAAACGAGGTCTTAACGCCATAAACATAAGTGGAGCCACAGACTGCAGCCACATCACAATCAAAGCAGCATCACTAATGAGTTTAATTACATTATTAGAAAAGAGTTTCATTCAATCAACATCCAGATAATCTGCGCTGCACATTTGTGGCTATCCAACGTTGTTGCCAGCGGCCTGGAGGAACACGACTCATTCACTGAGCAGAACAGTTCTGTGGGTCTCCAAGCAGGAGCTGCTGAGGACGGCTGGTTTATTGGTGAGTGTCACAGAGTGGAGATGTTTCAGCTGGACTTAGTCTGGTTATTAAACATGTCATCTGCAGTGATCAGGGTTATCCACTGGGTGGACGTTGGTATGAACTCGTCCTCCTCCAGTTGCATCAGTTCTCTTTTATGGGCTGTGATGCATTTTTTGGCGCTGAGCTTAACATCAAACCTCTTTTAAATCATCCCAACATTAATGCACCAAACAATATTTTCTGGTTTGCTTCAACCTCGCTGACAAGAACCTCGATCTCAGTTTCATAAAAGTTCCTCTTTTTCGCCCTTTTTGCCGCGATGATGACGACAGGTGAGGAAAAAATAAACCTTCACTTGCTTATAAAGAGGCGTGTTGTTGCCCTATATGGTGATGTGGAGGCGTTCCTGAAGGCAACGTGCTCGAGTACGGAGGTTAAGAACCAGTGGGATTTATCAGCACTGATGTGCTACGACCCCGTACGCTCGTTTGATAGATACGGATGTTTCTGGACTTACACTCTCTACATGTCATGTGCACGACAGAATACAGAAGCTTTTCTACGCACTGATGATAAATGAGGCCCCTGGTATTGATCTGCAGTCCTGGTATTGATCTGCAGTCCTGGTATTGATCTGCAGTCCTGGTATTGATCTCCAGCCCAGGTATTGATCATGTCATCACTCACAGGGGCAGTTATGTTAATACTCTAAGTACACTTTTCTGACTGTATCAGAGTATTTTATGGTGTGTATTCGTACTTTTGCTTTGTCACCTTTATTCCACCTGTAGACAGAGAAGTGTGTCAGCGCCACCTGCAGGCTGAACCCAGCACGCCGCCTCACATTCAACAAGTTACACAATAACTCACACAAACATTCATTCAGTTCACAGCAGCACAGCCTCACAGCGCGGACTGGACCGGCAGCTAATCAATCAATCAGTGATCGATATATATTATAATAAGGACCACCTGTATGCTGCTCACAGCGCTTCACAGTGTTCCTCATTCACCAGCTGCTGCTGCCATCTGGAGCAGCTTCTGGTTCACTTCTGATCCTGGTAGGGTTCGGGTTCGGGTTCGGGCCTTTGCTCTGAAGGAGCCGCGTCCACATGCTCTTATTGTGAAGGCGGAGCGGAGGTGTCTCCCTGCAGGTCCTCAGGCTTCGGCAGTCCTCGGCTGTCGGTGCTGTGTTCGGTGGTCCCTCGGTGTCGGTGTCCGTTACTCCGTTACTCCGGTGGATGCGGCCGCTGCGGAGCTCCGGTGCCGTTAACGGAGGAACCGTGACGTTACCGGAGCAGAAACGGAGGACTTTTCCCGCGGTAAGACAACCCCCCAACCAGCTAACTAAGTGAGCGGCTCACCGTTAACCGGCGCTGGCCGGACCGGTAAAATGGCGTGTCTCGGTTCTGGTGAACTTTTCTTCGCGGTCATTTCTCGGCGCGAGCCCTTTGTTCCTCCGTTCCCATGGAGACGCGTGTTCGGGTCGCGAGCCGACCGGACGGAGCCGAGCGCGTCCGGGAACGTTCGTGTTTACGGTTCGGACACCGGGACAGCGGTTCACCGAGCACCGGAGGGAGTTCAGAGTAATCGAGTACTTTTACTTTAGTGTTCATCTCAGCTTCAAACAACTTTATTGACCAACAAACTGGACACATGACGTCAGATAAACAGCACATGACGTCAGATAAACAGCAACGTCAGATAAACAGCACATGACGTCAGATAAACAGCACATGACGTCAGATAAACAGCACATGACGTCAGATAAACAGCACATTGGGCAGTTTAAGGTCTTTTTTCAGTGAAAACATCAAATATTTGCTGCTTTAGCTTTGAACTAATCGACTGATGATCGGCAGGTGATTGATCAGCTGTTTCAGTCGTTTTTTAAGCAGAAATGTGTAACGTGTGTAGTAACTATTAGCTGGTTTTAGAGTTAGATGAATTGACTGTTGCTGTTAAACTCTTGGGCTGCAAGGTGGTTCAGTTGGTAGCACTGTTGCCTCACAGCTAGAAGGTCGCCGGTTGGCGTCCCGGTGAGGACACCCGGGATCTTCCTGCGTGGAGTCTCCATGTTCTCCCCGTGCAGCGTGGGTTCTCTCCGGGTTCTCCGGCTTCCTCCCACAGTCCAGAAACATGCTGAGGTTAATTGGTGATTGTAAATTGTCCGTAGGTGTGAATGTGAGTGTGCTTGGTTGTCTGTCTCTAAGTGTAGCCCTGTGATAGACTGGTTACCTGTCCAGGTGAACCTGCCTTCACCCTGAGTCAGCTGGGATAGGCTCCACCCCCCATGACCCTAGTGAGGATTGAGCGGTGTATAGAAAATGGATGGATGTTAAACTCTTTGTTTTTAAGTATAAACATCAATATTTACTGCTTTTAGACATATTGATTAGGTGATTGATCAGCTGTTTCAGTCGTTTTTACAGCAAAAACTTGAATATGTGCTGGTTGAAGCTGCTGATTGGATCCAGGCTGGCCGTTATTTTATCTTCTGTATAAGTCCACTGATTTATGACAAACGTCTGGTTTGGTCCGGAGACGTTCAGTTTGTTGTCACAGAGGAAAGAAACCAGAAAACATTCAGACTGGAGGAGCCGACTTCTGATGTTCTCCTACAGAGATGGACTGTTGACGGCTCACAGAAGAAGCTCTGGTTTCCAGCAAAATGATCCGAGCTGAGAATTTTCCAATATTCTTTTTGTTCGTTTGGTTTTAATTTACTCAGTAAAACATTTTGTTCATCTAATGCTCAGAAATATCCTGAAAATGCAGAAATGTCTTTCTAATACGGCCTGAGAGTGCTTATTGATCTGTGATCTGATCTGGAGCTGCCCAGTGGTCGGTTTCCTGCAGGCGGTGGGAGGTGTCCTCCATGACGGACAACAGCTTTGTCATCATCCTCCTTTCTGCCACCACCTCCACAGGATGGAGGGGCAGGCCAGGACAGAGCTGGTGGCTTTCTATATCAGTTAATCTCTTCCTGTCTGCAGCCGTGATGCTGCTGCTCCAGCAGGCCTCCATACAGGATGGCTGATGCCACCACAGAGTGGAGAAGGTCCTCACAAGTGCTCCCTGCACCCCAAAGGACCTCCTGAGCAGGTGCAGTCTGTTCAGACCTTTCTTATAGAGTGCACTGGTGTTAGCAGTCCAGTCCAGTTTATTGTTCAGGTGAACAGCAGGTATTTGTAAGAGTCTACAGTCTCCATGTCTGTTCCCTGGATGTTCACTGGTGAAGGAGAAGTGTGTGTTCCTGCTGAAATCCACCACCAGTTCCACCGTTGATCTGGAGGCAGTTAAGCAGGCACCAGTCCACAAAGTCCCGGTTCAGTTCTCTGGACTCCTTCTCATCTCTGTCAGCGATTAGGCCGACGATGGTGGACTCGTCAGAGAACTTCTGAAGATGGTAGTTCATGGTGAGAGAAGTCTGCAGTGTAGAGGGTGAAAAGAAAGGGGGCAAGGACAGTCCCCTGTGGGGCCCCCCTACCGGGGTTAGACCACAGTGTCTGGAGAAGTCATAAAACATGGTTGCCACAGTGCTGGTGCTCGTCTCCAGGTGAGGGAAGCACCTGTGCAGGAGGCAGGTTGTTGCTGGTTTAATGAAAGTAGAAAATGCCGCGCTGGAGAAGGAGGTGAGTTCAGTTCTGGTGGTGATGCTGAGGTTTGTTGGGGGTGCAGCTGATGAAGATGATGACGGTGATGAAGATGAAGCGGCTGGTTCCTGGTTATCTAACAGAGCGTCTCTACGTGACCCAACAGTCACATGTTTACAGAATGTGTCTGCAGGAAATATTTCAGGAGGTTTTTGGTTTCAGTTGTTTTGCACCACAGAAGAAGAAACAGCCACAGAAAGACCATCACTGTTAATGAATCTGAACTCAGAGTTCGTTTAAACTCCCACAAAGACAGAAGAAGAATTCATGTTCAATCCAGACGGGTTTCTGGGACTCTGACACACGTCCAACATTTTCCCCCCAAAAATGTCTCCACATACTGCTGACATCTGACGGTGACATGTTTAGCAGCAGATTGCTGTCTGCTCTGTCTCAGTCACCAGAATGACACCATTTATCAGCTACAAACTGTAGAAAGACAAGAACATGATCAGAAATGTAACTTTCAGCTGGTCCTTGAACACATCACATGAGTTCTGTCAGAAACATGAAACAAAAGTGAGCTTTAAATGATATTTAATCAGAATCACTGTATTCCAATAGAACATGTTGTAGAGTGATGTTCCACCATCAGCTGAATGTATCTCCACCAACGGGCTCCTCTGTTCTCTGGTTCTGATCCGTGCTGCATCTGATCCAGTAGGATGGATTCTCCTTCAGTCTCTCTGAGGAAACTCTGGCTGCAGCTCACCTGAAACTCTCTGAATCTGGTTTTGTCAGACCCTGAAGTGAGAAATGTCAAATGAAATGATTTTAAATTGATTCCACGGTTTGAGGCTCAGATTTGGATCATGGATGTGATGGAGCTGCTGTGTGGGATGGTTAGTTCAAGGACCGTTGGACTGTTGGAAATAATACTTGATACAGAGGTTCGAGAAGCGTGTCGATCAGATTTATCAGCGCCATGCTGTCTTTGTTCTGCAGGTGTTGCATCGCAGCGTGATGCGTTGTGATGGAGGAGGCGGAGCAAAGCCGCTACGTCACTCAGCTCAAGGCCGAGTTCGACAGCTGCGACACGACGGCGACCGGCTTCCTGGACAGAGACGAGCTGACGGAGCTCTGCAGCAAACTGCAGCTGGACGCACACCTGCCCCTGCTGCTGGACACGCTGCTGGGAGGGCGGAGCTACAGCAGGGTAACAC